GTGCTGTGAACACCAGTGGGGGCTGCGGCTGCGTGTATTAAAGAACTGCTGGAACCCCGGGCATTCCTCTTAAAGGGCCCACAGATGGACTGACTCAAACGCATGCATTCTGAGCTCCTGTGCTGGGGCAGCCGCTCACGAGGTGCCAGGGACAGAAATGAGGAAATTAGTTAGTCTGGCTTTGGAGCAAAGGTGGGAGGGGCAGCTTTCTCCCGGAGAGAGGTGCTGGCAGAGGTCATTGCTCCTTGCTGAGCCGTCCGCTCACAGGGCCATAATTTGGGACCACATCTCATTCTCCATCAGCCTGGCTAAGGACACACGTAGTTTGTCCCCACCTCAGGTAAGTCGTGAGACTGTGCCCCATCCGGCTTGCTGGCCCACTGAAGCCATTGTCAAAGGCTTTTCCATACAACCAACCTATCCTGGCCAATGTTGTGGGCTTGCCTACATCTCTCCAAGGTCCACAAACACCAGAGAAGCAGCATGTGGCCTCAGTGTGCTCAGTACCTTTTGCTAAGTGGCCCCAGGCCCAGCACTAGCAGCAGCTGGCCTCAGATCACAGCTCGGTGTCCCCCAAGCACCTCTGAGCCCAGCACAAGTAACAGCTGCCTGCAGCTCACTCTAGCTCATGCTGGGTGGCCCCGGGCAGGTCACAGGCAGCAGGTGATCTTGGCTTGCACCACCCAACCACCTCCACAAGTGACACACTCACAGAGGCAGACTCAGTGGGCACCAGCGCCCTGCTGGTGTGAGTCCTGCTCCGTGGGGTCGGCCCCTGCACAGCAGCTCCTCCACTGTAGCTGCAGCCAGTCCTCACAGCCCGTTGGCCTGGGGGTAGACACCTCCCCCTGATGTGCCAACAGCAATCAAGGCTCAACTCCAATAGGAGGGTGCACACAGCCCACATGGGGGGATGCATCTGGAGAGCCCAGCTCTGGTTGTCAGGGAGGCTGTGCCACGGGGCCTACAGGACACCGATGACCACTCTCCCAAGGCTGGGAGACACAGCAGCTCTACCTAACACATGGAGGCTGCCAGGATGAGACAAGGAAACATGGACTAAAGGAAAGTATGGAACAAAACTCCAGAAAAATAAGCTAAACAAAATGGAGACAAGCAATCTACCAGATGCAGAGCTCAAAACACTGGTTATAATGATGCTCAGTGAACTTAGGGAATGAGTACATGAACTCAGAACTTCAGAGAAGAGATAGGAAATGTAACAAAGAGGCAGGCAGAAATAAAGATGACAGTAACTGAAACCTACTGCTGATTCCCTGTAATGCAATCCAAATGGGTCTGACTGCTACAATCAAAAGACACTGAATGGGTAACAAAACAAGACCCTTACACACACAGTCACTCCAGATGGAAGGACACAGACTTAAAGAAATGAAAAAATAGATATTTCATGAAAATGGAAATTAAAAAAGTAAAAGCTTGGGTAGCAGTACTTTGGCAGACACAATAAGCTTTAAAACAAAGGCTGTAGCAAGAGACAATGAAGGACCCAGAAATCCACTTCTGGATATTTACGTGAAGAAACCCAAAACACTAAATCAAAAACACCCACATGTTCACTGCGACATTATCTGCAATGGCCGCGATACGGAAGCCACCTACGTGTCCGTCATCAGACGAACGGATGAAGAAGCGGTGCACGCAGACAACGGAACGTGACCCAGCCAAAAAATCGAGGATGAACCCTCCCTTACCATCTGCAACAACGTGGGTGGGCCTGGAATACTGGGCTCGGTGAAACAAGTCGGAGAAGACAATACCATATGATTTCACTTATACGCAGAATCTACAGAACAAAATAAAGGACCACACAAAACAGAAACAGACTCAGAGATACAGAGACCAGACTGACGGTTGCCAGGTGGGAGGGGGTGGGGGTCTAGATGAAAAAGGTGAATGGGTTAAGCAGTACAAATTAGTAGTTACAGAATGTTCACGGGGACGTAAAGTACAGCATAGGAAATATAGTTAATATTTAATAACTATGCATGGTGTCAGATGGGTACTAGATTTATTGGTGTGATCACTTTTTAAGTTATATAAATGTCTAATCACTGGGTTGTGATTACTATATGATTGTACTAATATATTGTACATTAACTGTCATTGAAACATAAAAAGAAAATATTTTTTAAAAGTCAACTACATAGACCAGTAGCCAGGGCCTGATTTAGACAGAGAGGCGAGACTACAGGACTGAATGATTTCAATGGAATTTGCGGAAATCAACAGCATTTGCCAGTCTTTGGATGGGGAGTACAAGAAGAAAGGAATACTATGAACAATCGTATGGCGACAAATTGAACAACCTAGAAGAAATGGATACATTTCTAGAAACCAACAACCTTCCCAAACCGAACCGGGGAGAAACAGAGAATCTGAACAGTTTGATCACTAGCCACATATTGAAGCAGTAATTAACAAGCTCCCAAGAAAGAAAAGTTCAGGATCAGATAGCTTCATAGGTGAATACTACCAAACATTTAAGAAGAATTAATACCTATCCATTTCAAACTATTATAAAAAAACTGAAGAGGCAGAAATGCTTCCAAACTCCTTCCAAGCCAGTACTACCCGATACCAAAACCAGACAAAAACACTACAAAAAAAGAAAATTATAGGCCAATATCCCTGAATATAGATGCTAAAATTCTCAACAAAATACTAGCATTTCTACACACCAATAACAAGCAATTAGAAGGAGAAATGAAGAGAACAGCCCCATTTACAAATGCATCAAAAAGAGTAAAATTCCTAGGAATAAATTCAACCAAGAAGGTGAAAGAACTGTAGTCTGAAAACGATTGGCACTGAAGAAGGAAACTGATGAGGACACAAATGAACAGAAAGATATATACCATGTTTATATAGCAGATGGATTAATATTGTTAAAATGTCCGTACCATACAAAGCAGTCTATACATTCAATGAACTCCCTTATCAAACTACCAATTGCATTTTTCTCAGGAGTAGAACAAATACTCCTACATATTGGACCCCAAAAGACCCTAAACAGTCAATTTGGAGAATGAAGCAATCTTTTTGAAAATGAACCAGAGTTGGAGGTAACATGCTCCTGGATTTCAGACTCTGTGGCAAAGCTGTAGTAATAAAAACAATACGGTACCGACAAAAAACCAGATACACAGTTTAACAGGACAGAGCTTGAAATAAACCCTTGCTTATTCAGTCACTTAACCCACAACAAAGGATGCAAAAGTATATAATGGAGAAATGATGGTCTTCTTCAATAAGTGGTGTTTGGAAAACTGGACAGATTCATGCAAAAAGAAAAAAAAGAAAAACTGGATCACTTTCTCACACTATATAGAAAAATAAACTCAAATGGATTACAGACTTAAATTAAAAACGGAAACCATAAAAATCCCAGAAGAAAACAGGCAGCAAGCTTTGTGATGTTAGTCTTAGCAATATTTTTTTGGCTATGTCTCCTCAGGCAAGGGAAACAAAACCAAAAAATAAACAAATGGGATTATATCAAACTAAAAAGCTTCTGCACAGTGAAGAAAACCATTAACCAAATAAAAAAAAACAAAACAAAACAAAACAGCCTACTGAGTGGGAGAGGATATTTGCCAATGATACATCTGATAAGGGGTAATATCCAAAATATATAAGGAACTCCTACAAATAATAACAAGAAAACAATCTGATTAAAAAATAGGCAGAGGACCTGAATAAACATTTCTCCCCAAAAGATATACAGATGGGCAGCAGACATATAAAAAGATGCTCCGTATCACTAGTCCTCAGGGAAATACACATTAAAACCACAATGAGATATCGCCTCACACCCGACAGAATGGCTATTATCAAAAAGCCAGCTAACAACAAGTGCTGGCAAGGATGTGGAGAAAAGGGAACTTCTGCACACTGTTGGTGGGATTGTAAATTGGTGTAGCCACTACGGGAAACGGTACGGATATTCCTCAAAAACATTAAAAACAACCACTGTTCAACCAAGAATTCTATTTCTGGGTACTTAGCCAAATAAGCAAAAACACTAATTTAAAAAGATATATGCACCCCACGCTCATTTCAGGATTGTTTACAACACAACAGTGACGATAATGGAAGCCGCCTAGGTGTCCACTGATGAACAGAGAAAAGATATAAATATTACTCAGCCATAAAAAAAAATGAAATCTTACCATTTGCGACAGCATGGATGGACCTAGAGGGTATTATGCCAGGTGAAATAGATCAGACAGAAAAAGACAAATACCGTATGATTTCACTTGCATGTGGAATCTAACAAAACAAATGAACGAATCAAACAGCAGCAGACCCCTAAGGAAAACCCGGTGGCTGCCAGAGGGGGAGGTGGTGGGGGGACGGGTGCAAAGGTGAGGGACAATACACGCTAAGCACTTCCCGACACGAGGTCAGTAAGCCGGAGGGACGCAGCAGCGCATGGCTCAGGAGGTACCGTCAGTGACACAGCCGTCAGTGACACAGCCGTCACTCTGCGCGGGAGCAGGTGGTTATTGCCGCACTGTGGTGATCACAGCGTAAGGTATGCAAATGTCTACTCGTCATGTTGTGCACCTGGAACTAATGCAGTATTGTGTGCCCACTATTCGTTAATAAAATATTTTTAAGACCCCACACACCCACACAGTTAGGGTCGGAAATGTTGAGAGCCCCCAGTTCCAGAGGTGCAGGTCCTGACTGAGAAAGCGTGACCTTCCGAGTGCGGGGTCATGATAAACCGTGACTGTCAGTTTTACGATGTACTTTTGATGAAACAAAACAAAACAAAACCTGAATGTGCATCTCAGGCTACATCGAGGTCTGTCTTCCCTCAGTGGCAGTCAGGGTTTGAGTAACACAGGATTTGAACTGAGAGGAATATTTAGAGAGACCATGAATCATGTTTTTAAAAGTTCCGAATCTCTGAAGAAGTGACTGAGGATTTCATAAGGAACGCTGAGGAGGGGAAGAGAGAGCATTCTTACCCGAGTCCGCGGTGGCAGTACTTCCGCCGGAAGTGGAACGCGCTCTGCACGACCTTCTCCACCAGCTCGAACGGCTGCCGTATCGCGGGCCGCACCAGGGGGGTGAAGTGCACCACGCCCACATCCACCTTCGGGGCAAGCAAACGGGCATCATTTTGCTGCGTGGTGTAACGTTATAAACAACTCGTCTTTGTGCGGCGCAGGAGGAAGGGTGGCCAAGAGCACGGCGCTCACAAACACGCCGTCCGTGGACTGCAGTTTCATCTTCCCTGGGCGCGTAAGCTGCCAGGTTCGCATCTGAGCGGATTCAGAAATCACGGTCGGGTGTGTTAGTGCTATAATGACATCCGCTGGACCTGCGCTTGACGATCACTTAATTTGAAAATGCAGTTTCACAATGGCCTTTAAAATCAGTCCACATAATCATTAAAGTCAGCAGGCAGAAAACAGATAGCACCAGAACGCTTTATTTAGCTTCTGAGTGAGTGAAAAATAAGCTGCGGCAGCAGTTCTGACGGCAGGAAGGGGCTTCAAAACACAGAAGGCAGATGGGCCCCCGGGGGCCACTTAGTGTGAAACTCCCTCCTCCGGAAGTGAGTCAGCTAGGATGCCACTCGTTTTGGGGACAGACACACGATTCATCAGCTGGACAGAACTCATGAGCGTCGTCTGCACGGCCACATAACTTCCTGGTAGCACCTTTAAATGCCCCAGGTGGCACAGGCAGGACCCAGAGAAAAAAGGAAACCGCCAAAAATGTCACTGCTTCCGTGTGAGGCTGCTACCAGCTGTTGAGATTCTTTAATTATCAGAAAATAAAACTTTCCAGGCAAATCCGTTATGAGATTTATAGCCTGACTCATTCTAAAAATGGACTCATGGTGATTCACAAGGATATATTCAAACTAACAAAGGGGAAATGCTGGAGGTACAAAGGGAAAAATGCGAGTTACGCCCCAAAATGCCTGACAGAATCCACGCTCTGGGCCACGGGAGTCTGTTCGGAATACACGGAGGGTTCTGTCTACCGAACTGCTGACCTCGCTCCTGAGAGCATCGCACGGACTCTACAAAGACCAAGACAGTCCAGTGGCTTATGAAGTGTGGGTTGTACCACTGCCTTCTGAAAAGGAATTGTGTTTGTCAAACACTACAGGGGCTATCCAACTCTCTTAGGAGGACTTGCTCCTAAAGAGTCTGTGGCTACACAACTCCTTAAAACTGGCCAGTGTTCCAGGAGGATGGGGACTGGGTTTCTGTTTTCAGGGTGGAGGCCCAATGCTTGCATGACACGAGACCCTCGGGACCGGAGAATAGAAAGGAAGTGCCTGAAGATGTGCCCCCCATCAGGCAGCCGGCGTGGACGTCTGGAGGAGCCCCGGTGTTTGTCCTCGGGGGGTCTGAGCTGCCGCCCCCTCCTTGAACAATCAGCGATCCTGTCCCCGAATGAGCGACAGCCGCACCTGTCTGACATAACTGCCGACAGACAGTGGAGAGCCTGTGGTCGGGATGGCGCGGCTGGCAGGAGGGACGGACGGCTCTGGGCAGGTGACGGAGAGCTGCCGGGAGTGGGGGGGGAGGGCTCTTTCTGCACTGAGAGTGTCCCCTCCTGTCCGCGGCCTGCAGACTGCCTCACTGAAGGTGACACCTCTTTGGTGGAGCAGCAGTTGCTCCACTTCAGAGTGACTGTCTGAAGACAATGTTCAATGTTCTTATTAAATCTGAATCAGAGTTGACAACACCAGTTGTCAACCCGGGTTCTATGCGCTTACTCAGTTCCACCAGGTTTAGTGACAGGCACGCCCTTCGGGACACCGAGGGCTTCGGTTACAAGGCCAGGCCTTCCCTCAGAACCTGAGAAAACCCCGCAGAGCAGTGCCCAGGGGTCTCAGGGAGGCTGGCGATCAGGACGCAGGAGAGAGGGACTGAGGGGGACCGGGCGTGTGGAGGTGACTTCGGGGTGGAAGGAACGGGAGCAGCACCGCAGGCTGGGCAGAAAAGACTGCTTCCTCCCAGAGCACGTCTGAGGGAGGGCGAGCGGAGAGAACAGACAGCTGGGGCGAGGGGGAGGGCAGCCCAGGTCGCACTGTCATGGCGGTGACCGACAGATACTGCTCGCTCCCTCTGAAACGTCCCTTCCACCTGTCCTCCCCACCCCCGATCTGCGGCAGGGAAGTGCAGGCAACCGGCGGGAAGGCTCTCCGCCATCCTTAGACCCTGCCCACCCCTCCACTCTGCAGCTCCCCACGCCACTCCCTGGGACCCCGTCCCCACCTCTGGGCCTGCCACTCCCTGGCACCCGGTCCTCACCTCTGGGCCTGCCACTCCCTGGCACCCGGTCCCCACCTCTGGGCCTGCCACCCCCACCCCCGGCACCCCGTCCCCACCTCTGGGCCTGCCACCCCCCGGCACCCGGTCCCCACCTCTGGGCCTGCCACTCCCTGGCACCCCGTCCCCACCTCTGGGCCTGCCACTCCCTGGCACCCGGTCCCCACCTCTGGGCCGGCCTGCCGTCCTCCACGGCTCCGCCCCTTCGGTCCTGTCACCCCCCTCCTACCTGACCACCCTGAGCTGGTTCCGAAAGGAATCCTTCAGTCCCTGGGTGTCATCCAACGGCCTCCCAGTCTCCAGAGAAAAGAAGCTTTTAGCAAGATACGAGAAAAATTTAAGCCCTACCTACCCCTAAACCCACAAAACATCAAAACTCTACTGTTCAGAGACCGTTAAGACAGAACACACCAATAATGGGGTAGATGATTCTCCTTACAGTGCAGAAACCGCCACTTCCAGCTTCCCTGGATTTAAAACCCTGGCCTCATCTTCATTTGCCTGATGTCATTCCTTTGAGATACAGCTGGTGTTTGCAAACACAGGACAGGAAATGCCTAACATTTGCCTAAATAAGGTTTTACGACCCTGCCCAAACACAGCAGCACTCTGTGTAAACCGTGGCAGTAGACTTCTGAAGTTTGGGTTTTGTTGCCCGGCAGCCTAACAGTGTAACGCAACTAAAATTTCCACTCACAATCAAATACAGTTACAATTAACGGGGGACGCGGTGAAACGCCCTGTAAAGAAAGGCTCTTCCAGTAATGTGTCCTGCCTCTCGGAAAAACCTCCTCTGCCGCCCTCGCCACCAGGGCACTTCTCAGAATTATTCTGAATAATAGGGCCCGTGTTCCCTGAAGCCACAGGAAAGCCCCTCAGTAACTATGGTAACAGACACAAAAAATGCTTTTTCCTTCTAATTGAATGCGTATTTAAAATTACAACCATTTTTCCCTTCCTCGATGTTAAGTCTATTAAAGGGTATGATTACAAAGAAGTCAGTAGACAGGTAACAGGTGCACTTAAAAACTCCCGCTTGATGTTGCCGGCCCTTTTCCAAACCCAGTCTATCAGCACACCAAAATGACTTACTAAAATTTCAAATTAAGGTATTTATAATGAGGTTAAATATTTGTCTCTCAAATCCACTATAATGTCAATGCTTTTGCAAGCTGAGATTATGTTTCTCAACACAGCATCCTTGGACACAAGAGGCTGGAGGCAGAAGTTGCACTTTCCAGGCCAGAGTCTGGGACAAGGTTGACAGGAGCTTGGAGCAGACTGTGGACTCGTAAGAGACCCCAGGGTAGGTAGATACTAAATCTCGAAGCTTAGACAGTGTCAACTCAGATCTCGAACCCACACGATCTGGGCAACACTGAAGATGTATGGCCTGGCTCCTGACCCTGAGATGATCACAATATGCGAAGAAACTGAATAACCACCCCACGCAACAGTACTGGCCACTGCCTAGGAAAGGGTCTTCGACACCCCCCGTGGCGTTCAAGCCACTGGAGAGGAAGACCGATCACAAAGTCAGTTACGGTTTAATCAGCAGAGCTAGAATCGGAACTTGGAGGTGACAGAAGGAATGCGGAGAGAAAAGAATGACGACAGAGAATAACCAACGAGACTTCGGGAACAACAGGAGAGGGACGGCTCACAGCTGGAGGGGTGTCGTGTGCAGTGCAAGGGGTCTGCCGGCTCTGAGGCCTCGGCACTGCCCGACGAGACTCCGGGTCTGGGAGAGCCACGGTCAGTGTCCGGAGAGACGACAGGGGCAGGTGAGTGCACTGGGGGCACTCCTGGCTCCTCCTGCACCACGTCCCCTGCAGGGACCCGCTCGGAGCTGGTTGCGGCCTCCCGTGGCCATCAGACCCCGCAGTGTCGACTTCCCCAGACAAGAGGAGCAAGTCCTCAGTGCCTGTGATGTTACAGTGATGCATTTTGTAGGAAACCAAAAGATTTACGGACATAAATGTAAATCAAATGTCGTATGATTAGTTTATTCTACCTGTAATTCTTGGGCCACGCCCAAGTCAAGGACAGAATTTCAGTTGTACGACCTTAAACCTCAAACACTTTCAAAGCATCCCAGGTATTCCAAACAAGCGTGTTCAACAAGACTGACACCATTAGTACCTGCGTATCTTCCTTTGAAGTTTACAATTTGTTTGTTATTGTAACAATACTAATTTCTACAGAATTTCCTCCCTCTTTTTGCTCCTCCTGTAGAACTTCGAATGGTTTTTCCCCTTCTCAGAGGATGAGCACACAGAGAATGACAGAGGGCTGAGAGCATGATGAGAAGTATGCCTAAGAGATGCCCGGCATGAGGAGGACATGGAGAGAAAGAACGCCTGACTGTGTAAATTACGTATGCATGTATGCAAATCAGGGCAACTAGCAACAACAGTAACAGCGAGATGAGTTGCGGTTCCTTGGTCCCAGGAAAGGAGCGTACACTTAATTCTGAACAAAATGCAAGGAGAACAAAACGAACATTGGTTTAGGATTTTCTGTTCTATCTAACGTGCAGTTTCCAGATGACTGTGGCAAAACACCTTTCTAAAACCTTGACCTTTCCCACAAACCACGGCCTCGGTGTTCGTGGGTCAGCACCTCTGGAGGTGCCCTGCTCCCACTGCAGCTGTGGGTGTGGAAGAGCTGCCCACACAGGCTCGGAGCTGCCCTGCTGGTGGGGGGCGGGAGGGGGGGCAGCCCACTGGGATCGGCAGGCCGAGCCGCTGGTCTCGCAGGTCCGGAGAGACTCCGACCTCTCCCTCCGCATCGCCCAGTTCCTAGGAATGATCCATCTAAGCAAACTCACAAGGCACTCAGTAACTGCTTTTGCTATAAAAAATGTGTTACTATTAAAGACTGATAAACAAACAGGACAGAAATATATCAGTTCCAAATGAGTCAATATACTAATGTGAAATTGCCAGAGAGACTAGAACTGGGCCCACGTGCTGGCAGCACAGACCTGCCCTCCTTTTGCTGAGAGGTATTTCTCCTTTAAAAGTGATCGTGCGGTCCCGCTCTTCCTGTTTCTACCTGGAAAGGAGCCTGCCCTCGTTAAAGATGAGTCTCCAGCTGCTGGATGTTATCTTTCCCGTGGTGATTTTACTAGGTTAACCTCGGAGGTGTGGGGGCCTCACAGTCCTCCCTAGGTGTCATGGGAAATGAGAAACCATGAAAACGGATGCACACTCTCTTGTGTGGCAAGGTGACGAAGTCCACACGAACCCACCCAGGACCCCGTGGGCTGGGAGCCCGAGGCGGGAAACCCAGCCCGGTACAAAGGGAGAATCACAGGGAAGAGAGAAGAAAGGGGAGGGGCCGTGACCGAGAGCTGGACCCGAACTGACGCACGCAGCCCACAATCTCAGGTACGACCAATAAATGACTGTCTTTGTTTGTCTGTTTGTTTGTTTGCTTGCCCTGCTCTTCAAAATAATGTGCAAAGAGAATGCATGCAATGGTAATAAGGCCACAGCAAATTCGTGTTTATGTTACTTATGAGATTAAGTTGGTCTGCAAATGTCACCACGATGCACAGTCTTAGTGTTCCAAACAAATGTGATGAAGACAAAGACAAGCCCTCAAGAGCCTTTCTCGTGGAGACAAACAGGAGTAACAAGACGTTGTAAAAACTCGGTAACAGATAATCGAGCACGACGGAAGCACAGCCCGTACGCAGCCCGACTGGCTGCAGACGCCCTCAGAAACCAGGACGGCCTCGTTAGACATCTGAGCACGCACGTAAACTGAGAAGACTCATCTCCATTTTCACCATTATCCGCTGAACTACAGACTGCCCCCTTTTTTTAAAAGTTAAAGTCCCCACACCGATCTAAAACATTATATTATAACTAAAATGACCATAAAGATTAGGTAAACAATGGGCTACTTGTGTTCTTAGCTGATACTATTCATGTCCAAAGACTGGGTGAGAAGAGAAACATTATTTTAAGATTCAGCCAATCACTTTAAATGTGTGGGCCTGGAACAGGAAACTATTTTATCTTGTTCTGAATTTCATTATTTTCAAGGTTGAACAGAAAGCAACTGCGAAAGGACGCCGTTGTTTTGTAATAAATCAGAGCCCCAACTTCCCACTGCACTGAGGTGGGCGGCGTCCCAGACCAGTGAGATCAGAGCCACGGGGCCAGGTGCTGCGTCCCAGGTGGGGCTCTCCCAAGGCCAGGCGTGCGCGGTCGGAAGCGGTGAGAGGCACCGGTCCGGGGATCAGCCTCGTGCAAAGGTACGGTGCTGTTGTCATTTCTCAGACATGCGGCTACATGACTGATTCTTTCGGAAAGCAAAGAGACGCTTTCCTGGATATCCAGATTGTCATCACTAGGAGAGACACGAAGGCAATCACAGGTCATTTTTCCTTACAAGCAGAAAAATGAAAACATTTGAAAGCCAAAAAGCGATGCACTGCTGAGGCACTGGCCAGGTAGGTACTCCGCAGTCACTTGGCATGAGCGGGAAGTGTGCCCTTGTACCCAAAGCTGCAGAGACGCCGGGGTCCATCTGTTCCAGAGCGGAGCCCGCACCACCCCGGAAGGGGGCGGCTCCTCAAGCTGACACCTGGAAATACTCTGTGTTGCAAGGGGCGGCAGGACGGTGCTCTGAGCGCAGGACGGTGCTCTGAGCGCAGAACGGCTTCAAACCGCACGCCCTCCTGGCCCAGACTCCCACTTACTCGCCTTACAGCTTAGCTGTTTCTCAGCTCCTCTGGAGCTTGGTTTTCTCATCTGTAAAATGAGGGTTCCTGTTATCTCGCAGGCTCCTCTTGAGAAATAAGTACCAAAGTGCCTCAAATAGTATTCAGCATACAGGAAGCAGCTTATAATGGTACATATTATTATTACATCAAAGTGATAAAACTCAGGAGTAGCCTCCTTTGGAAAGGTCAAAATCATACTTTTACTCATGCAAAGGTCATGTGTGGTTTCAGTAATGCTATTTTCTATACTCAAAATCAGTCCCTGAATTCTCCCATTCAATGTTTACGGTACCCTCCCCACAGGCCAGGCACCGCCCCGGCCCAGGCCAAACAGCAGCCCACCAGGCAGGCAGAAGTCCCTGCCCTCGTGAGGGTTACCCTCTTAGAGGCCTTGCAGCAGCAGAGGGCTCTGAGGGGGAGGACTCCTGCTGTCTTCTGAAGTTCGGAAGCAGCAGTGGGCTGGCTGGCTGGACGCCGGGTATGGAATCCAGGGCGGTTTATGCGCCAGGGCGTGCCGAATGGAAGGGTGGGTTTGCCACTAGCCACCGTGGGGAGGCGGCGGGAGCAGGGGGAGACTGCTGTGGGAAGGTCAGGGGTTCGGTCCGGTGCGTGATTGGCCTGTGATGTGTGTCAGGGACGCTGGGTCGGGAGGTGGACACTGAACTGGGGAGAGGGCCGGGAAAGAGACATAAACTGAGGAAAGGACAAACTAGGGTAAGATTCATCTAGGGAAGTCTCTGGACATAAAAGATTGAATGCTCTTTAATCCTGTCCACATTAGAAACAGAAAATAATGTCAATGAACTGTATTTCTCCATATAACTCTACTCTCCAGATCCTTTTGCATAGGAGAGACTCTGCCCGATTAGAGGTCTGTAGTTAATAAAAGTTATTTCAGAGTCTATCTATATTAACTAAAAATAGTTAATATTGAATAAGGATCAAGGCAGAAGAATGATCAAAAACACTTTGAAAGGAGTAATGAACATTAAAGCAAGCTTAGCCATTTATTCTCAGCTGGCGGCATTACGCTGGGGTCAGAGGTGAGGGGCGTGCCCCTCCACCCGCCACGTGTCAGCCTCAGCGCGGGCCAGTCTGCACCAGCGACCACGGCAAGGAGCCCCGCTGGCCAGGACGCTAAAGGGATCCGGGGGGCTTCTTCTGACACAGCAGGAGCAGCACGCTGCTCCCATTCACACCGGAGCTGCCGCTCCAGCTCATCCAGTGTTTACACACGGAACTGATCGTACACCTCCATGAAGTAAAGGAAGTTTCCATAACAAACAACATCCGAATACTATGGCTGAAAAGCAAACCCACAGGCATTAGACGTTTAACATCTTGCTAAATGCCAGACTGACATTAAAAGAAACCAACAAAAAACAGCAATAAAAAAAACTTAGAAAAACCCAGATAACTGAAACATACATTTTATTATTCCTTGCTTTTAAAGAAATGGCTAACCTCTAACAAGGCTATCAACAGTTTAAAATTTTTTAAAAGTCCAATCATAAAATTATCTCCTTTTTTATTAAATACTTTTCTTTTTTTTTTTAAGATTTTATTTATTTATTTTTAGAGAGGGAAGGGAGGGAGATAGAGAGAGAGAAACATTAATGTGCAGTTGCTGGGGGTCATGGCCTGCAACCCAGGCATGTGCCCTGGCTGGGAATCGAACCTGCGATGCTTTGGTTCGCAGCCCGAGCTCAATCCACTGAGCTACGCCAGCCAGGGCAAATTATCTCCCTTTCTATATAGTGGATATGAATTTGTAGTTTGTAGAATTGAAATTACCGAGGAAGAAAAACTGAGAACCCAAAAATAGATGCAGGTGTGATACGTCTGTGCTGCTATTCATGACCTAGAATGTCAGGGCTTGATCTCACTGCTTCATCTGATGGTTCATCACGTCATTTTCATGTAATTTCTTTGTAAGTTTCTAAAAGTGCTAATATTAAATTACACTCCAGAAACCTTCCTCAGCGGAAGGAATCACGGAGGAAAATTCAGGACACCCCCCAAAAAATTTCTGGTAGGTTTACTGATCAAAATTCTAATCAACAGTTGTTCCTGGCTTTTCTCCCATGCAAAGAAAAAAAGTATTTTGAAAACTGTCTTTTGAATGTTTCTTTTGAAAGCCACCAATTTTGTGAATCTTGATTTTAGACAAGTCACAAGCACCAGAATAAAAATACAGTCTCACCCTGGCTAGTGTGGCTCAGTGGATTGAGCACCAGCCTGCAAACCAAAGGGTTACCAGTTCAATTCCTGGTCAGGGCACATGCCTGGGTTGGGGTCGTGGAAGAGGCAACCAGTTGATGTTTCTCTTGCACATTGATGTTTCTCTCCCTCTCTTTCTCCCTCCCTTTCCCTCTAAAAATAAATAAATCAAACCTTAAAAAAAAAAGTCTCAACTATCATTTGCAAAGCACAATCCAGTTAAAAATATTTCAGATCATAAAGACTTGGGGACATCAAATAATAAACTGTGCCTCCCAGCATAGATAAAAATAAATTATAACTAGGGACTAAAACATGATATTACAAGAAAAGAAAGCCTTTGTGTGTGCTCCCAAAGAATCCCTCCTCTGCACACAGTGACACAAAACATTTCAGCTTTCAGGTTTCGACAACTCCTGTTGTAACAACAACTCCCTCCCTTCCCCGCCTCTCCTCTCTCAATTCTCCCACAGTTCAAAAAATGAGATGGAGAACCTGGTATTTATCTTCTAGCCCCATCAGCAGTTTTCACCGCTCACATTTCTGTGCTGCTCTTTATTTGCTATTCGCGCGTGAGCTGGCTGGAGCCGCGTCGGTGATACCCAGCAGCTGTGCAGGCAGCCTCGCGCGTGGGGTGCGTCCTCCCCTCGTCACACCTGCCCGGGGTTCCCGCGGAGACACATGACCGAGCGGACTGAGACAGTGAAGGCCACGGACAAAAGGTATGGAACACGGGAAGCTTCTATGACGCTTAGTGCTCAATGCAGCAGCTCTCCCAGGGCCGCTTAGCTTGAATTTTACGTTGCAAATCTGTTTTTAAATACCAGTTTTGATAGAAATAAATTCTGACTGGAAAACTGACTTTACTCTTGAACGAGATCTATTCCAGACTTTTGGCAGATAGTTCACAAACGTAACACTCGCAGGTCCTGTTCTGCATGCGCTGTGTTTTGGAGCCGTGAGGGAGTTCTCCCCTGAGAACTAAGTTTGCTTACTGCCACGGTATCCCCCCCACCCTGACCACCGCAATCATCTAAACAAAGTATGCCTTTATGGCCTCCCGATAGAAATTTGAGAGAACAGGCCTCACACTGGATCGTGCTCGTGACTGCAGAGGGGAAGAAACAAAAGATTTTGTAGCACTATGGCTAAGATGCCAGGGTGTTTTTACAGAAGAAAGAGAATAGTGACCTTGTTTTGGGAGAACAAATTCTTTCTGCCTAAGTTCTGTAGATAGAAGAAAGCGTTTAAAGTCCAATATTGGACATAAGCGAGCGCTGTGTGAACTGAATGCAATGTCATATTGTTGACGCTGATTTTGGCCGTCTGTAATTTATCACTGCCAGCGCTTGTTAATTAAGATGAACAGGCTGTCTGCAAGTCTGAATTACACTGAAATTTATAAAATGTATTGGCTAATGAGAAAAAAGAGGGTTATAATTGGGAAGCTGAGCATAGAAGGATCAACACATCAAGGTTACTCAACCACAGTAAAAATAAAGAAATGAGATGCTGTCAGGGAATGCTAGCAGCAGTCTGGCTCTGCAAGAATCCCTGCGTGGAAAATGGTTGGGGAAGGCGTAATTTAGAGAGCTGGCTGGAGCTCTCGGCCCAAACCTGCAAACAGCTATTATGAAACTATAAACATGGGCTTTATTTTCTTCTAGAAACTTTAACTTCTGTTCTGTTCTGGCCTCAGTATGTAAAGAAATAAAGAGTATGAGGCAGGCAAAGCCTAGGCCCTCGGATCTTTACAGTAAGTCTGATCCTTAAGAATTCAAAACCTCAGGGAAATCCTCTCCTAAAACTGTAAATTTCACATGTGTAAGACTGCGAACAAAACGGAGCAATGGAATTCAGACAGCCCGGGATTTAGGGAATCACTGTTAGAACTACAGGCGAGTTCGCACTTTCCATATAGGTAGGCATGCATTTCACAAAAAGCAGGCAGCGACCTCCTTGGTGCGTCTCCAAAGCTAAGTCATTTGCCAAACTGACAGCCTCTGGAGGCTTTTTTTGTTTTGTTTTGTTTTTTGGTGGGAAAGGGAGTGAGCGAAGCTGGTAAGTGATGGTACTTTGCGCCTTCAGCCAGAGCGCGTGCCTGGCCTCCCACGGCAAGAAAGCACCCGGGGGAGGATGTCACCAGAAGCACTGGGGTGACGGGAAAGGTGCAGGATGCTGATCTGAAAAAAGTGATGATGTACAGCATCATAGTTACAGTTTCTCTCAGCTCTAAGAGTCTATGCCAATGAATATAATCAGCCTAAAGAGGAGAGAAAAGAAACTGCCGTGGGATATAAAATAAAGATCATAGGGCATTTATTTGTCATAGGATATAAAATAAATAAAAACATTAATAACAATGCCAACCACAATTTACTGGATATTCTCTATGGGGGTAGATATTGTTTTAAGCCCTTAAAATGCACTGACATATGTAACTCCGTGATATAGGTAGTATAATCCTCCCCATTTTCCAGGAGAGGATACCGAGGCACAGAGAGGTTCTGGAAAGCCAAGATTTGACCCACACTGCCTTTTGTCGAGTATATGTGGGTCACGATACAGCCGCTTTAACACATCATTCAAAATTTAGTTCAGAAACACAGAAAAGCCAGGATTGCTGTATTTCAGAAACCCTCACATTTCTCAAAGGAGGCAGCAAGTCCCGCCAGATTAAAACACAGTAAAGCCACAAAGAGCTAGCTTTTCCCTCTTAAAAAAAAAAGAGACAGAAAATAAAGTGTTAAATTATGCTTGGTATCCTTTCACGGACCAGTAACGATGTGGTTATTTCTGTACGTATTTTCAAGCTTTGATGCCCCCACTTCGGAACTGTTTGGAATAACCGGTTTTGCAGCCGACTGCAGCATTTGGGTCAGGGGAGGATTCTGGTCCCAACTAGAAAGGATCTCACGTTCTCGTAGCAAAGGACAGTAGCTTAATTGTTCTGCTCTGAGTACTTTGTGCCTGAAGTGAAGGAAGCGCCACCATAGGTAAGGATGCCGCAAATGTTTATTAACTAGAACCGGGGACAACCATGCAGGTGACTTCTTTCCACTCCTTTCCTCTCCTTAGGGTACCTGGGTCACGTGCTGGTTCGTGGTGGGTGCTTAGTTAAGTGCTTCTGAATACTTGAAACTTTCCCGGTGTATATTCATATTTCATGTTTAAGGGGTAGGTTTAAACTATTCTTCTTTATATCTACAGAGTATTTTACTTAAAACCAAAATGTTTGTTTTAAAAATCAAGTTTTTAAAAACCCATAATGCTGTCAGGTTCTTGAGCAGGTCTTACAGCAGGAGCTTGGCAGGCCTAAGTCTCCTAGCACGGCTACAGGCCCACTTAGCAGACAACTTCAGCACAGCTGGAGCTTTCAAAGGAACATCGTGGGCAGCCCTTTCCTCTCCAGCTTGTCTCCAGCCCCAGCCACCCTGTCTGCCCAGGAGGGCGGGGCCTCCAAGGGCCTGGTGTGAGCTCTGGCCCCGGGCAGCTGCATCCGCTCCCACTGCGGGCCGAGGCCCCGGCTCCCACCGCGCACACACACAAGAAGCCTTTTCATTCCTTTTCTGTCCCTCAACCCGACTTTGTCCCTCTCCCCAGCCTCTGTCACCGGTCCTCCACTGCACGGTCCTCCACTGCACGGGAACAGCTGCGACTCTGACCGGCAGCCACCGTAGTTAAGCGCCAGGATTTCCTTGGCAGACGGAGCCGACGGTGGTCACGTCATGCGCCTGGCACGCGTCCAGCTCCTTGCTTTTGTCCTGGCCTTCTGCGGGGTCTCTGGGGTGCTGGTGGCCACCGTGCTGCCCAACTGGAAGGTGACTGTGGACACGGGCGCCAACATCATCACGGCCATCGTGCAGCTGCAAGGGCTGTGGATGGACTGCACGTGCTACAGCACCGGCATGTTCAGCTGCAGCCTCAAGTACTCCATTCTGTCCCTCCCCACCCACGTGCAGGCCGCGCGGGCCGCCATGGTCCTGGCCTGCGTGCTGTCCGCTTTGGGCATCTGCACTGCCGCCGTGGGGATGCAGTGCACTCGCCTAGGAGGGGACAGAGAGACCAAGTGTCACACTTGTTTTGCCGGGGGCGTCTGCCTCATGTCTGCCGGGGTCTCCGGTCTAATACCGACAGTGTGGTACACAAAGGAGATCATCACCACCTTTCTGGACCTGACAGTTCCCGAAAGCAACAAACATGAACCTGGAGGGGCTGTCTACGTCGGATTCATTTCGGCCGTGCTGCTGCTGACCTCTGGCACCATCTTCTGCACTTCCTGCATGAAGAGGGACCAAGACGCTTGGCTCTCCCCGCCCAAGCAGCCGCACATGCCCACCGCAAAGCTGGAGGGCGACTCCGCATACCACCTGAAGGATTATGTGTGAATCCCTGTGTGATGCACGTGGAATTTTTAGATGCCTGCTGGGACTTTTGTGTTTATTTTAGATTTTATATATATATACACACACACATACACACACACACACCAGAATTATGCTTAACTTTCTCAACAAAGTTTTGAAATGCTTGAAAAAAATAAATTAAAAAAATGGCAAGGTCATTTAAAATGCCAACCAACTCTCATGTACAATTATATCTGTTGTAAGATTATTCTTCCACCCCTATTTTCATGTGTTATCTAAAGGTTTATAACTGAAAGAGGCTCTGACCATATTACTAAGGTAATTAATTGACAGCTTTTTCTTGCTTAAGATAACCTGTTGGTACATTTTCTGAACTGGTACTTAACTGGGCCTCACAAAACACCGAGTGCGAGCAGCGCCTTGCCCAGGTGGGACCCCGGGGATCGCCCGCGCTCGCCATCTGAGTGGCACCACCACGGGCACCTGCTTCTGTCTGCAGCCCCGCCGCAGCGCACCAGGGGCAGAAGAGCTGTCCGCCTCTCCCAGCGTCGCCCAAGCCAGCCACCCCAACTCCCCGCCGTGACCTCCCTGTCCCTTTTCTCACTTTAGAGAAATACCTCCATCCATTCATGAGCGCCGACAACACGACATTCAAAGATGAGGCAGAAGCGAAGGGCAGACCCTGGTAAGTGCCACCACAGCAAAGCAAAAGCAAACCAAACCACGCTCAACTCTCTCCGACTTCTCCGGCACTAGGCACTAGGCACAAGGCACAAGGCAAGAGACGCCGGCACGTTTGTTTGAATGGGCTCGGGAAGGTCCCCCTCCTGCCGCCCGCAAGAGGAGTCTCCGGGTTCACTCACTTACCCAGGACAATTTAGATGTACCCCCAGCTCGTTTAACCTCTCATTCAAAGCTGTCATTTTATGTTCTCGTTGGATCCACATTAACAAACAAATACATTGCTGTTCTCTTATACATGAACGGCTTCAATGAGTTAGTAGATGTGAAAGTAATTTTTAAAGTATAAAGAATGCTTTATAAAAAAGTATAAGAATCTAAGTTAAATTATCTTATGTATTTCAAATATTTAAAAAAGAAAATGAAAATCGGATTCTTTGAGGTGCAGAAGAAACATCGCACACTGTTGTTTCTGGTAATTTAGTTGTTAGTTCGAGCTTAATCATGGCTCACAACGAAATGCGCAGCATTCCTTCGTGCGTTAGTAATTCAGGAGTGGGAAGAAAACTATCTTTCCTGTGAGTAAACAGTGTTCATTTGTCCACGCAGAGGTACAGACTAAAATATTTCATGCCTATTTTACTCAGCAGACCCCCATTCTCTTCTTCAGCAATGTCATTAGCTATTAATGAGCAGCTAAAATGAAAAGGTGCCATCTCATGTATGGATTAGAAAAGGAATCATTTAAATGGGAGTTCAAATGATTATTTAAAGTATGCATTCCTTTTTCATGCTCAAACTATTTTCTAAATGAATGCATTAAAAATAGCTCGAACGCAAAGACTGCTCTAGTGCCGTTCCTGGGAGAGGGCTGCTCTGACACCTGTGTGGTCCTCTCGCTCTGCTCAGGTGACTGGCTCCACCTGTAGTCCATGTACCCTATCATCCTACGCTAAAAGTTATATTCTCTCCGTAAGTCTATATATACTTCAAAATCATGTCTATTTATTTTTAGAACATTTTCTTCCTAAATACATAGGAGTGTTTGAACTCGCAGAGAAGCAGCCACTTGATAAAAATAATGGCCCGATTCTGCCCAGATCGGAAACAGTGAGGACGAAACACCGAGTGCCCTCTGGGACCACCCCTCTGCGTCGCCCCCCGAGCCTCCTCCCACTCACCGCTCGCTCGCCGGCCCACCCTTCCACTCCCCTCTGGGGCCAGCCGGGATCTCCTGTGTGAACTCGACCCCGGCTCCCTGCGGGAGGTTGCTGCCTCCCTTTCTGTGCTCAGAGAAGGCTCTGGTCAACAGATCACGCCTCTACAAGACACCACCTCCCACCTGACTTGGAGGCCAGGTATGTTCCTCACCTCTGTGTTCGCCGTGACTGGCCCCTCGCTGCAAGTGCTCACTAGGACATGCCAGTCCTGACCGAACCCCTCCGCACGCACCGACGGGTGTCAGCTCCTAAGGACGCTAGGGGGCAGGTGCTATTTATTCTTGGCAGCGCACAGGAGACCGAGGCACAGAAAGGGTGTCGGTTACCTAACCTACCCAAGCTCACACAGCTGGTACGCCGGGGAGACGGGATTCAACCTGAGCGGCCCTGGCGCCCGAGGGAAGCCACCGTGTGTACGGTCACACAGGACACCGGTCACCCGGCACACCTCACTCACTCCAAGCCTTTGCTTGCTCAGGTGACGGAGCGGATTTCAGCATCTGCTCAGGGTTGCGAGGGTTAAATGAGGCAAAACACACAAAATGTGCCGAGACATGGTGAGCACGCGGTGACGGCAGCCCAGAGGTTCCTGGTCTAATCCAGTGGTCTCCAACTGGGGGTGGACGTCTGGCAATGTCCAGAGGCATTTTTTGGTGTCATACCCGGGGTAACGGTGCTGGTGGGTGCAGGCCGGGAGTGCTGTTAAACACCCCACAACGCACAGGAGGGCCCAGCAACACAGAACTAGCTGGGCCAAAATGTCAGTAGTGACGAGGCTCAGAAACCCTGGTCTGATCTACTTGAATGCATATAAACATTCCTATTTGTTTGATTAAAAAGTTCCTAAAAGCATACCACTCCCCCCACCAAAAAAACCCCAAAAAACCCAAAATGCCAAAAACTTCCCAGAATATCATGTTTATTTTACCCATAGAGCGGGGGTGTGCGTGTGTGTAAAAAACTGAAGACATCACCTAGTCATTCTGGCAAAAAGGATGAAGACTTCCATTAGGCCAGGAGAATGGATGTGAGAACAGCTAGGTTTAGGAGGCAGGGCGCAGGGGTGTCGGAAGCTGGTAACTGGTGGCTGGCTGTGAGGTTGAGGGTAGGGGGAGGGGTGGGCACTGAAGGTGACCTCGGGGCTAGGCTTGGGCGACCTGAGCAGAGCAGATGAGTCCACGGAGCGGCGGGGGCGGGGGTGGGGGTGGGGAGCAGGCCTGGGGCGGGGGGGGGGGGCGGGGGAGGACAGAAGTAAGCTCTGTCTGGGATATGGATTCGGTGTTTTCTCATTTCTTCATTTCTCAGAGAAGGCTGCCGCAGTAATTTCTTTTATCATCGTGTTTTTCGCTGCGTGCTTTAGCACGCGTCAACTTCTTGGACACTGAGGACGGGGACACAGCCTGTGGTTGTGCAGTGCCCTGCACGAATCCCTTCCCTGCCCCACTGACATTTTTCTTCATTTCACTGTACTTTATACATACAGAAAACTGTCACCTGCAAGATGGCAATTCTGCTTCTTTCTCAGAATTATAATCCTTATTGCTTATCTCATTCTTGAATAGTTAGGAATACATAACTAGAATTAAATTAGAATGTAATAGTAAGCACGCTCATTTTTATTCAACACTTATTTTATCTGATTTTTAAAAAGGACAACTCCTTTACTTCTCTACAATTATAAAACTGACTTTTAGTACGCACATTTATGGTTTTTTTAGGCTCACCAATTTTCAAAAAAATTCAAGGCAACTTACAACAACAATACTGGTACAGTAAGTAGAAAAGTCAATGATAAAAGTGCACGACTGAAGTCACAAAGAAAAGGAAGAGAGGAAGGATGCCATTAAATAGTCCTGCCTGAAGGCTGTTGAAGCAATTAAATATGAAACTTAGTGCAGAACTTCTTCCCAGCAACCAGGGCAGAAAAGGCCGCACAAGGGACCGGAAAGCTTTGTCTATCACCAGGAACCGGCGGGGGCTCCCGCTGGCACCCTGGCCGAGCTCCTGCCTCTGGGCCCTGCACCCACCTCCCAGCTGCCGTGGGTCTGGGGTGCCGACGGCTCCCAGAGTGGGGTCCTTTCACACAGAGGACGAGGCCCCCACAGCTGTGGGTAAGCGTGCCCGAACGCCTCTGCAGTGCTGTCCTCAAAGGTCAGGCTTGGGCGCCCTAAGTCCTGACCTTCCCTTTGGGTCATGGGTATATCGTCATTGATTCACCTAAAATTATACCGACACAATTTATGCTTTGAATCTCCAACACGTTTGGGAGTAACTTGCTCCATATACCATAGTTAATAGGCAAAATCAGATATAAATTATATTTATGTCTGAAAAAATACAATCCACACTGCGGCAAGATATTACAAGTCGGTTCATGAATACTTGTTTCTATTCAAAACAGTAACATCTATCTACCACTGACTGCCTCGTGGTGCCAGAGGCTCATAGTACACACTTTACACTGATTATCTCCAACCTTCAAGGGTGGCATTACCACCGCAATATGATGTATTAAAACTCAACCTATTAACCTGAGCAAGTCCTCACCACTAGGAGCGCTGGAATCCCAACTGTGAGTACTGACTTCACAGTACTTCCAGCTTTTCCACTAGAAAATGCTGCCTCTCTCCTGTCAATCAAAAGAACAGGTCCCAGTCGTCCCGTTACATCTCAGTGACTTTCCTACTGGGCTGGAGGATAGGGCACGGTCAGACGTAACACCTGTCAGTGCTGCGGGAAGGATGTCAGGCTACCAGGCCCATGACCACAATTTATAAAAGAAAAAAAGATGGCAGAATTTTGAGGGAATAGTCAATAGCTCAGTATTTACTGAACTTGAGTAACGGGCAAGCCAGCTGGAAAAAAAAAATTACTGTGGGATCCCAGAAATACATGGGGTTCTCGGGGATCTTTAGGGGTCAGCTTGAGAAACTTAAAAGTTTTATTCTTTGATGGAAGCATTTTCTTTTTTAAAAAGATTTTTATTTATTTATTTTTAGAGAGAGGAGAAGGGAAGGAGAAAGATAGGGAGAGAAACATCAATGTGTGGTTGCCTCTCGCACGCCCCCTACTGGGGACCTGGGCCACAACCCAGGCACGTGCCCTGACTGGGAATGGAACCAGCGACCTTTTTGGTTGTTAGGCCAGCACTCAATCCACTGAGCTACACCAGACAGGGCGGAAGAATTTTCTAGTTCTAATTTCGAACTGAAAAAGGGACATTTTATCTTGTAATACTAATTTTACTAACTAAACAGTAAAATGGAAATACTAAATTTTAAAAATTCTAGTTTAAAATCTGTATGCTATAAACTCTAGTAGTTTAAGAAACACTAGAGTAGACCAATTAATCTGATGTTATGACATTGTGTTCTCTGTAGATAAAAAAGAATTTTGGGTTCCGACTTCAGGGACTGCACTAGAGAAGTTAATGGGAGTGAAAGGTTTGTTAAGAATTTTGTCTGGCTAGCCAGAAGAGAATCGGAACGGTTCCCCGCTAGTGAAAAGCTCCGCCAGTAAAGGTGACTGAGCTGGTTTAATCTAAAGGCTGATGGACAGAAGGGATAAAAGACTCTCACAGGAAAAATCCTAAGGTGGGTGGGAATAAGCCCATCTTTTCACATCACAAAAGAAGTTCTCTCCGTCTAATTCTGAAAGAGTTTTGCCTGAGAGTAAGTATTGAACTTTAGTAAATTCCTTCTGAGCATCTACAGAGAATTAACCTCTCTCTCTCAGCTCCCCGGGAGCCTGCCTACACCTCTGTCTTAGCCCTCTCTGCTCTTCCTTCACCGTGTGTCGTGGTTATTCGACCGTCTCCCTTTGCATACAGAGGGGTTAGCCAGAGGGGCGGCCTTGGACTGTTATTTTAACATCTCTGTAAAAACTCTTGCCCTGTCTTAAGAAAACAAACTTTTCTAAAGATTTGCTCAATGTAACTATTAGCCAAATATTGTCTAGCTTTCTTCAGAGTATTCATAAGCTGCTCTAATGTGGTAAAAGTACTTCAAAGCAACAGAGACTTCTTTAAGAACTAAAATTTAATCCTTTGATTTATTGTTTTCCTTTATCATAATACATTCTCTCTCCTCCTCAATAACTGCTTTCCTAGATTACAAATAAATCCTGCATGTAATATTTTCAATATGATGAAAAGCATGTAAAGAAAATTGTATGTTTACTTTGCCAAAAAGCAAACATATCTCAATAAAGAGAATAAAAACATAGCTAGGTCTTCCCCCCAAATAATAAATTTTCATAAGGCCTTACTCCTAAACTAACAAGGGTACTGTATCCCTAAATCAAAGGAGTTGATAACTTCTAAACACCATCAAATGCCCTCAACATGGTAACCAAAATAAAGGGTTAGAAACTTTCCACGACAAATATTCTAACATCTGCTCTAAGAAACCCTTGGAACAATTAGGTAGCCTAAAGTTTCTGGGTTATGGCAATAACCAAAAGTATAAAAAGCCTAAAGATAAAGATCTTGGTGTCTGATATAATTGGGTCTAGCACCATTCAAAATGTTAGATACACATCTGTACGCATGACAAGAAGCAAGCAAGCAATATAATTACTTGGTTCTCTTCAATACAACAGGCACCTGTTCTAGCATAGGAAATTCCTGGAAGGACAAATGTATTAAATTTGGTGACGACCTACAAGATATCTCAGTCATCAAATTCTGCCTAGGATCTAAAGGGATCTATTATTCAGAAAGAAGTAATTTATAGTGTCTGCAGCCTTGAGCTGCTGCAAGGAGGTGGTACTGAGAGCGAGTTCTCCGAGCTGCTTTAGGAAAAGCTGACCGTGAAGCCCGTCCCGTGAACGGGAGATGGTCTGGACCCGACAGTCACAGGAAACCTCCCCTTGCTGTGGCGGCAGAGGAAGTGGGAGGTGGTAACGAAGAACACCGGTTCTCACCACCTCTCGGACACACTTCAGGGTGCACACTCAGGCCCAGCACCATCAGCGCCCCATTCTGAACCTAAAACCTGTATCCAAACCTAAAAAGCACATCAACGACTTCACTGTGCCATCCACTTGGATGCCAGATGACGCGCGGGGAACTGCGCATCAAGCCTGGAGAAGCCTGCTCCGCACCAGCTGTGGCTCCTGCAGGCAGACCCCGGCGTCCGCCTGACGGGGCCCCGCCCCCGCTGCCTCCCCCACTGTCCGCCGGGCCCAGCGCTTTCGTGCAGATGCTCGATGTCCATTCGAAGCAGAAACAGATGAGTTTTTATGGCACATGTCCTGGGGTGCAGATGCCAGTTTATTGAATTTAATTTTTGGCAGAGAAACTTTATTTCTCTAATTAGCACTTATGTTTCTGTAATTAGTCGTATATAGATGTAACAGTCAAAGTCTAATTTAATATTCAGCTATTTTTCCAGAGATCACTGTAAGTAACATTACCAAAATAAGGTCTCTCAAAAAAAGTGGAAAAAATTTCACGAAAACCAATGTTGGATGTAACATTAGTGAGAAGTCTCCAATAGAAATCACACACACACAAAATACTGATTTCTTTTTTTGAGGAATGGCTGACCATGTAACTTATCTTCCATACTCAGATAATTTAGGTATAAAAGGAATAATAACAATAATAATATCACCACCACCAGGGCAACATGGATAAACATGGGACATTTAATGCTTCTAAATAAGTGGGAGAAAAATTAGACTAAAACCTGTAATCCTTAAATTCATACTGTAATTTTCATGCTTCTTATTCGGGAGCGGTAAAGAAAAACTTACGGTGCGGTTTGCACGTAAGTCCGGACTAGATCCCAGAGATAATTTCCTATGGCACACGCTCCGAGCAGGAAGGACACGGTGAAAAGCCCGGTTCTGGTGCCGTGGAGCACGCAGGGGGAGACTGACCTGCGGTTTGGGCACAAAGGCCCGGCCTGGGATGGTGAAGAGGTGCCGCACGTGGCAGAGGTGCTGGGCCATCACCGAGAGGCGGCTGCGCTGCTTGCTGCCTGTGCTGGCTGCGAGTCTCTGCGGAGAGGGGAGAGGGCGTTACTGGCACGGGATCAGTCCAGTCTGATCGCAGTCAAAAGACAAACAGCCAACAGAAAATATAGGCGTGACTCAGATGAACTATAAACTATGCTCAGCCACACTGCAAATTAGCGACAGGCAAATCAGAGCCATAATGAGATACAGTTTCACATCCACAGAACGAGCAGAGTTTCGGCGGCGCAAGGAAGGACCTGGTAGAAGCTAGTCTCGGTGCCGGCTCGGAGCAGCACCGCGCGTGAGGGGCCGGCCGAGCGGGTCACTGGGGGCCACAGCGGCACCGCACGCGCAGTGGAGCTGAGGTCGAGCACACCCGCGTGAGCCCGCGGGTTCACCCTCAGGACTCGGTCCTGGGGCGCAGCCTGTGCAGTCAGTCACACAAGGAGATGTGCCTGAGAACGCACGTCCGTCGCAACATCATCTGCAACATAAAAAGGGTGTAATTAAGAACATAAAGGTCCATCGCAGGTGACTGAATCAGGGAATTGTGGTCCTTCTGACAATGGAATACTAAGTAACAGTGAAAATGAGTAACAAGGGTTACCAACATAGATCCCCAAAACAGAGTACAAAATAATTCGGTGGAAGAAAATATGTCCAGTATGGCTTCAGTTATATAAAAATTTCAAAAGATTACTTATTTCGTGTGTGTATGTGGATGTATCTATATTTGCAGTGCTAGTGAAAACCATGCACAGAAATGGTGAATACCCGTTTTAACACAGTACAACTCAGGGACGGGAAATCAAGGAAAGGGAAGGCTCCGAACTTATCTACAGGATTTTACTTCTTAAAACAGGTAAGAAAAACGGCAGCATGTTCAGACTGGACAAAGCTGGCTGAGGATAAAAAAATAGGCACCTTCACCTTTCTAAAGTGTGTGTACCCCACCCCCCCGTGTTCTGCGAGTGCACAGGACATTCCGACCCTCTCGCGAGACCCAGGGCCGGCATTCCTTCCCGCAGCGGTGCGGGGGTGCGAGGGGTGCGGGGGCGGGGGGTGCGGGCGGTGCGCCTCGCGGTGAGCAGGCAGTGCCTTTAGACTCGTGTCCACGCGTGGGGGTTCCGCTTTGTTGCCTCACCGTTCTGTGCCGACCTCTGACAGCCCCTTTTACTCTGCTGCTTCTAACCTGGGCACGAGAACCACATCATCTGACAATTCTGCCTTAAGTGCAATTTTAAAAACAGGTTTTAATTTGAGACGCTGAAAAAACTTCCTAAGGCCAAGTTGGCTGTAGATTATGCATAGCATCTGTTTTGTTATTCAAAACCACCCCTCCTCTTCTTTCTTTTTCTTTTAAATTATCTGGCTCTCGTCTGTATTTGGACAGTTAAAATTAGTGGGAAGCTGGGTTTGTGACAAGTGATGCGGTGCTACAGTGTGTCTGACAGAATGTACTCTTCCTCATCTAGATGTGAAACCGAGAACTATACATGCCCGTATTTTGCCGTGTATAACGTGCACTTTCTGCCCAAATTTTTGAGGGAAAAATAAGGATGCGCATTACACATGGGTATGATAATCCCATGCATAATGCCCACAAAAATGTGGGTGCACATTATACACAGGAAAATGCAGTATTCTCAAGCAAACATCCAAAATACAGAGATGAATAATGGAAGTATAGATTTAAGTTAAAAATATAAGCTTATGGATCAAGTAGTCAAAATTATTTCTATTTCTTGATTAAAAAAGAGCTAATTTTACCACTGGTAAACATTAATTGAAAATGCACTGTGCAAACTGGCACAATTCAAAGCAGTTTTGTATAAAACTAACATCTAGCATGAACATAATCACAAAACTAGAAAATAAACCAAAAGGAGTGCCCAGATTTTAAAAATTATTATTTCATCTTGGGTTTTCTTCCAATTTGCCACTTTACATCTGAAACGTATGTTTCCACAGGTGAATGCAAGAGACTGGAAGATTGCGTTAACCAAAAAGCAAACCAGGGAGGCACGGAGGGTGAGCTCTGTCTCACCTGGAGTGCTGCGTGTCCACGCCTGCAGCGGACGGGCTGTCCTGACCTTTAACTCGACCCACCCAGTCTTTGGAGCAAGGGCAGCCACGGTGTGGAAATGAAGACGTGGGAGCCGTACGGCTCAACTTGGAAGACAGCAGCAGCACACACATCCGCCCCAACGCCCTAAGGGAAGGTTCAAGCCACAGACCAGAACGCTCTGCGCAGGACTCCAGTAAAAGCTAGCTTAAGAGGTAAGTGGTCAATCCAGCCCTTGAAGGTGGTTTGGTATTTCGGTGATACGTATATTATGGGAAAAGCTATGAAAATTCAAACTCCACTAGGAGATAGATGACTGCAACAGCAAAAGGTCGAGAAACCAAAGCAGTTAATTTTTCAGTGAAAGGAAATGTCTAACCCTTGAGCTTTTAAAAGCATTCTGAGTCTAAGGGGAAAGATGGGGTCAAAAAATTCACATGCACAGTGTTGCTGAAATACATGTTTTTCCCCCTTACTCATCTAAAATCATTTCAAGCACAAGGAGAAAAAATTGGCTTATACTTGAGAAGTGAAACAGCCACACATTATAGACAAAGAGAACTACATATTAATGAAGAGGTAACTCCCCCTGCCCCCACACTAGGGATGTGACTATTAAACAGTCTGGGTCCCTGGAAATGGTAGGAGGTGAGGAGGCTGATGCTGGACCAGAAAGAAAAGACCTTAGGGCCACATGGAGAAGCTAAACATCATGACATCAGCAGAAAACATATGGCTTGTATTCAAGTTCGGCTTTCCCTGTAACTAGCTCCGTGACCTTTTGGAAAACATTCAATTACTTTGAGCCTCAGTTTCGTCATCTATACAGTGAGGCCAGATAAGATTTGTTAAGGTCTCATTTGCTGCTCCACAGTCTGATTCTATTTTATAGGCTGCAACTTTAAACTGTCTATGTGTCCCTGAAGGCATGTGGGCTGAGTTCATACATTCAGCCCCTGCAGGCCTAGAGAGAAAGAAGAGGGTCGTGTTTATTAGTTTTGTAATTCACTAAGTCAAGCAAAGAAAATGTTTAAAAGTGCTTTCTGCGGCTAAAATACAAAGTCACAAATATGACAGTGTCAAGAGCAGAGAGGAGCTATAAGAAAATGATGTTATTTATTTTCCTGCTGACACTTTTACTTGCGAAATTGGAAAATCAGAGGACCAGTGTTACCCATACTTCTAAAGCCTTTCTTAAATTATAGACTTAGTATAAATTCTTTCCAAAATTCATACTAAAATTTAAGTAAAATCAGCTTTTTTTTTTTTGCTGTTCAAGAGAAGTAATTGCATGTGGTGTGGCAGCAACACTACCATTAATAACCACTACTGACACGCTGAGTCACGGAAATATTATTCCGCCTCCTAAACCTCTGCTCCTTTGTTCTCTCTCCCCAAAGAAGGAGCGTGCACAGTGTTCTGCAACTCCACTGTGGTTTTCAAGGACAGAAACACCATAATAATCATGTCAGCTGCGGAAAACATCCAAGGACCAATCCAAAGGTTGGGAAAACAGAAAGAAAGCGAGCAGCAGGACCTCGGTCCAAACCGACAGAAGAGAGCGCGCGGACTCCCGAGCAGGGCCTGACGCGGGCCTCGGGAAGGTGGGGATGTCGTCGTAAAGGACCTTACGCTGTCGGGATGACGTGACGGCCACGTGCTCGAACGCAGTTTCTCGGGCTCGGCAGTGCTGACGTGTGCGGCTGGGTGACGCTAAGTGGCTCTCTGTTGTGGGGGGCTATCCTGTGCACTGAAGCATGTTTACCAGCACCCCTGGCCTCCACCCACCAGACACCAGAAGCACCCCAGCCTGGTGACAACCAACAACGGCCCTGAGGGTCGTGTGTCAGAACCACTCTGTCAAGAGTCACTGCTGTCAAGGGGAGCAAGGTAAAGAGAGAGGGGTGGACCTGAGAAATAAAACCCGTAGGATCCCCTCATACATCATTTGGGGGGAAGGAACCTAAAGAAGTGGACTAATGCAATCCTATAATCCAGTCTCAAAGGAATTCTGATATTAAAAAGTTTTTTGCAGAAGCAACATGAAGTTGAATAAAACACGTAGAACAACAGTCTTCCTACTGGACAGCAAGCAGCGAGGGCTGTGATCACCGAGAGAGAAAGGAGGTGAGCCGGCCACTGCCCAGCCCGCAGCCGGAGGCTGTTCTCGGGCCGCGGCACGGGGAGGAACCCACGGAGCCCAGGCGTCTCCTTGACTTGAGCGGACAGGCTGTGGCCAGAACTCGTGGGGCAGACGGCTAGGGACAGGGGAACACACACAGGGTGGGAGTGCGGGGTGGGGGCAGAGAAACGGAGAGAGAGGGAGTGAGGGAGGGAGGAAGTGGGCGAGAGCTCCTGCAACAGGCTCTTCGAACACAGACCTGGGAGGGCACGAGGCCAGCTCCTCAGGGCTTGGGACGGCGAGAGGCTGGAGAAAGGAGCGTCGGAAGGCAGGACAAAATGGACTCACAAAGAGCTGAAAACAGTCTGCACCCCAACAGCTCAAGGGCAGAGCCCTAGAATACACGGGGAACTGGGTGGATTCCTCACGAAAGGTGGGGCTTAGCAGCGGGATTTAATTAGCCTCAGATCGATGGCTGCTCTGGGTCAGTCATAACCGAGTTTAAGAGGAAACCTCAACCGATCTGCAAGCAGTTCTCTACGGGCCAGAACCAAGCCCACCGCTCAGCCCCATGCAACAGACCCAGCTCCCACTGAACAACACCGAACACCAAAACCTCACAGTATCTGATGTCCTGTCCAAAGCTGCCAGGCTCACGAAGCAGCAGAAAAATGAGCCCCACAGCAATGAGGGGGTAAAAGTCAGCTGGTGAACAGTACAGAAATGACAGAGGTGATGAAATTAGCAAACAAAGATCTTACAACAGCGCCGTGTGTAATACATATGCACAAATACGCCAAGGAAGGCGTGAACATAAAGTGAGAAAGGGAAGATATAATAAGATCCAAATGGAGCTTCTCGAAATAAAAATACATCTAAAATAAAAAATAAATTGAGCAGAATTAACAACAGCTTAGACACCGCAGAAATGTGTGGTGAATTTGAAGACACAGTAATTGGAATTTATTTTGACATATGGTGAATTATTAAATTTTTCGTAAGAGTTAATGAAGTATGCATGCCTTTGCTAAATGACCTTTTTTTTCTCTGATTTATAATTTGATCAGCACCCAGCACTGAGTCATCTGATTCCGGGCCTTCCGATCTACCCTCGGCCTGCCCCACGCTGGGCCACAGCGCTCTGACTCTCGGAGCTTTACAAGACACTTTAGTGTTTCTCAGGCGAGCCTTCCTTCCCACTCTTCTTTCTGCGATTTCTCACCCGTTCTCACAGGTCCTCTCACCTCACGGTGATCCCTGGAACTGAACTACGTTTCAAGATGTTACATGAACAGTGTATCTCCAAATACTTTTGACTTCTCTTTCCAATAATGACATGTTTTATATACTTCAATCCTTGCTGTAGTTAGTGTTCTGTTTATCACTAATTCAGTCCTAAACTGAATTAGTGATAAACAATGTTCAATATATGCAAACATGATTTTTTAAAAGATTTATTTATTTATTTTTAGAGAGGGAAGGGAGGGAGAAAAAGAGAGAGAGAAACATCAATGTGTGGTTGCTGGGGGCCATGGCCTGCAACCCTGGCATGTGCCCTGGCTGGGAATGAAACCTGCGATACTTTGGTTTGCAGCCTGCGCGCAATCCACTGAGCTACACCAGCCAGGGCTACTTCATCAAATTTTTGATCTGCTGATGTGAACTGAATGCTCTTCCTGAAGATCCCTCCATCTTCGTCAGACCGTCTGCTTCCTAGATTCCACACCCTTCCTTCTTGTGTGTCGAGTCAGACCAGTGCTCACACAGGGTCTGTCGCTATGGCACAGGTGTGGATAAAGATCAGGAGGTCAGTGAAGGGCAGACTTTTCAATAAATAGCGCTAGATTCATCAGCATCATATGATAATAATACCGAAACTGGCTTCTACTTAAACCATCCACAAAATCAACCCCAAGTGGATTATAAACATAAGTTTGAAAGGCAAAACAATAAAGCTTGTAGTAGAGAACACAGAAAAATAGCTTTATGATCTCAGGCTATAAAAGGATTGTTTCAGCAAGACACAAAAAGCACTAACCATAAATTTAAAATTATGAACATCAGCTCTTCACAAGACACTGTAAAAAGACAGCAATGACATGCACAGTGGAATGTCTGCTACACACTTAACTAACGAGAAGAATATGGGAGAACTCCTCCAAGTCACCGAGAAAAAGACAAGCAACCCAACAGAAAACCGAATAAAAGGCACGCACTTCACAAAAGAGTGCTTACCCAAAAGGCCGATAAGCATGTAAAACGGCGCTCAATTTCATTAGAAATCAGCAAAAGACAAAATAAAACCACAATGACACACCACTCTCCCGAGATTAACGAGAAAAGTGCGGATCTGGCAAAAGCAAGCGCTGGCCGGGAGATGGAGCGACGTGCACTGTGGGCGGGAACACAAAACGGGCACAACGACTTGGAGGACAATTAGCATCGTCCGGCGAGGGCGGAGCTCTGCAGCCCGTTCGGTCCAGCGTTCCCACGCGCCTGTCTGCTCCAGCTGACATAGACAGAGGACGCTCACGACCACTTCGTCTGCACTGACAAAATGCTGGAGCTAACTCAGGGTCCCGACACAGGGGAAAGGACAGATAAATTATGACACAGTCAAAGGGTGGGTAGTATCTAGCAATACAAATAAACTACACCTATGGGCAATAAACTACACCTACGGGCAATACGAGTGAATCAGTATAAAAAGGATACATACTGCGTGAACCCATTTGTATAAAGTTCAAAAGTGGGCAAAAACTAAGGTATATTAATTATATATAAGAAGTGGTGGGGGGGGAATGGAGACAGCTATACTTAAACAACAATAAAATATACTACAGAAAAAAGATCTATGTGATAAACTGCAGAGATAATAAATCTCGCATCCATGGTATCGGTTACCTTTGCCATGGGTGGGGGACAGGAGATATAACCTAAATGAGGCGTCCAAGAGAGTGTCGAAGATGTTGGCAATTTAATTAAGTTGACTCGGGTGGTGGAGATTCAGCTGTTCTTTTTGTTAAACCATATATACGAGGTCTGTCCGGAAAAAGTCTAGCCATTGTTAATATAGTAAGAACAGTTTGTACATCAACGTAACCTGGCAGGCAAGCACAGCGGACTGGAATGTGCATGTGTGAACAATGACAACTTCACTGCACTAGTCAGGTGGGGGTGGTAGGTGTCACTGAGTGAACGTATGTACCATGTGGGCATTACATTCAAATGACTGAGCGGGCAGAGCAATGAATCTGAATCATATTTTGCATTATGCTTGAACATTCCTATGTGGAAACCATTTGGATGATTCAGAAGGCCACAGCTATGGGCTACTGGTGACTGGCAGCTTCATCACAACAACATGTCCACTCATGCATCAGGTCTCCTGCAGAGTTTTTTGGCAAAACATCAAATCACCCAGGTGACTCAGCCCCATCACAGCCCAGACTTGGCACCCTGCGGCTTCTGGTTTTACTCAAAACTAAAATCACTTCTGAAAGAAACGAGATTTCAGACCATCGATGAGATTCAGGAAAATATGATGGGGCAGCTGCTGGCGACTGGGAGAACTGTGTGAGATGCCTACTTTTAGGGGACTGAGGTCACTGTCCTGTGTACAATGTTTCTTGTATCTTCTTCAATAAATGTGCCTAGTGTTCGTAGTACATGGCCGGATACCTTCTGGACAGACCTCGTATATACATTATCTCCTCTATTGTACTTGTATGCCATAACAAAAAAATTTAAGAAACACTTACAGCCTGCAGATCCCCTCACCTACCCTTTCCCAGGAGTGAACTGGGAACACAACTGCCGTGGGCCCGCAGGCCTAGCTGGGTGGGGAGTAAGTGAAAGTCTCTCTCAGTAAGGAGACACCAACCCCCTTCCCTTCCTCAGCTCCCCACTGACTGTAACACTCTTGAGCTGCTGCCCCTCTGAGTTCAACACAGCAAGGGCAGCATGCCATGTGCCCATCTTTGCGCATAACGCATCGCAATGTCACACGGGTCCCATCTTTCTCTAACTGCGCTGTGGCCACTTGTCCTGTGTTTACTACTCGGCCTCCGTAGTGGGCAGCACATCACTCGTGCTCAGCACGGAGAGCTGACAGCAGCCACCTCTGTCACCGTCACCACCTCTCACCTGTGTCTGAGCTGTGGCTGGCATTTCTGTGTGTGCACTGGAGTAGTCACTTCGGAAAACAGAGTCCGCGATGAAAATGCAGTGCTATTTTGTTTTGGGACTTGATCACGTGATAGAGTGGCTGGGAAAAATGAACACTTACCTCTGCCACTTCCTGTTGAAAAGTCAGTGTCATCTGGGTTCTGCCATAAGCAAAAGGTCCGTCTTTCTGGGAAACATTTTTAAGCCACTTGATTATCAGTGGAGTTGATACACTAAATGGCAGATTCCCAATAATATGTACATTTGGAGGGTCTGTTGGCAGGAGGAAAAAACAGCTTGAAATGGTTTCATCAATATATTTTCAATACAATTTTACTGAAGAGTAAAGTCAAACTAAATATTAATAGCATCCAATAAAAATATATGAAAAAACTATGGCTGAGTATTTTCTTTATCCTTCAAAAGCAATGTTTTGTCATGATGGGCTCTGAGTTAAGGAAAAAATTCTACCTACTGTGTTTTCAGACTATAGGACACACTCTCCCTAAATTTGGGAGGAAATGGCGGGGGGTGGGGGGGGGTGCATCTTATAGTCTGAACGTAGCTTACCGGGCTCAAGTCGGAGGGGAGGAAGGGGCCGGGGACTATGTTATTTACGTTATTAAATATTTTTCCACATTTTTGCTTTGAAATTCTTTTTCCTATTTTCCTCCTCTAAAACCTAGGTGCATCTTACAGTCTGAAAAATGTGGTAATTAGTATTCAGTCAGTGAAAGTCCTCAGATTTTTGGCTTAGGAAAAAATATGCAACAGATCTGCTCTGAGGAAAAAGATGATTTGCTTCGGACTCGAGGAGGTCCAAGTGCCTGGTGGCACCCGGATGAACCGGCCGGGGGCCAGGGCCCAGGGCCCAGGGAAGGGATGTTGCCTTCCCCTAGGTGTGCAGTGCTCAGTGTCTGCGGTGTGCAGGTGAAGGCGAGACCACAGGAGAGGAGCAATCCAGGCAACTCTGCCGCAGAAAAGAAGATGCCCACGAAGAAAAAACATCTCAGAGACACCATGTGAGAGGTGGGCAAAAAAATAACCACCAGCAAAGAAGAGTTAAGAGAAAGCTGACAGTGACGTCAGTGGACAACAGGAGGGCCTGGTATCAGGGAACTGGACACACAGTAGTACTGGATGGGGTGCACCCGAATCGCTCCTGCGCTTGTCCCGAGGGGTCTGTAGGCAAAAATCCCAGCTGCCTTTCTCTGCGTTCCACAGGGCTGGAGCCCAGGGGCTCTCCGTGCACACGGCCCGCCCGTGAATGCAGAGGCCTTGCCGAGTGTGCGAGACAATGGAAACAAAAGAAAGGTTTGGATGGGGCTTGGTTTACTAAAACCCCCTCTTTTTGTTGTTTACCATTTGGAAAAAGTAACACCTTATAGTTCACCCCATCCTTGTGTGGAATCTTAAAAATGACAAGTTTATCTGAACACAACCCAGAGCATTTGAAAAATAAGACGAATAAATTATAGAATTAAGAAAAAGTAATTAGATTTTATATTTTGGAAGAAAGTGGAAAAGCAGAATAAGATTACAATGCATATTAACTATTCTGCTTAGCTAATTTTGAATATAAATATATAGCATTTATAATAAATATAACATATAAATATTTCTAATATAAATAATTACAAAAAAAATAAGAAAACCGAACCAAAGTCACTTACCATCCTCCCACTGTCTTTTAAGACTTTCTGGAAAAGCCCTTTCTACCTTAAACGTCAACACATCTCCATGGACAATTCTCAGTTTTCCGGGGGCTGCATCAGAAAGCATCTGGTTTACAGAAAGATCAAGAACGTGAGCTCATGCACTTTGCCAAATACTGAAACTAATTTCTTTTACTTCAAATCTGTGCACTATTAAATCTGAAAGGGCAGAGACTACGAGAGACCGTTAATGAACCAACAGTGAACGGTACCCACTGCAACAGACTACGCTGGGGGCTTCCTTCTGCCACATCAGTGATGGGACGGTAACAGACAACAGCATAAAAACAGCTTATAATTTCACCAATGATATAGTAACATAATTTTGACCCTCACAATGACTTGTATTTCTGAGTGGATGTAGCAAAAACTCAACTCCCAGCTCTAAGTTTTTAAATTAGAGACTAGACATCATAATGCAATACTGAGAATTAGGAGTACATCACATGAAAGACGAGGTTAATTCAACTAAATCTTTATAGCCTGAATATACACACAAGGTTCCCTCTGTCACTGAGATCTGTAACTTCATCTGTGGGGACAGCCACGCCAGGGAGGAAGGTGCTGAGCCTGGCCGAGCTGCAGGGGCACCCGGAGGCACTCCCAGACCGCGGCATCCCCAATCCCAATACTTCTTGATCCACAGGCACTTTCAACCGAATGAATTATCCTGCATGTTTTAATAGTGTCGCCCCTGTTGGGAACCACCCTGCCTGGTATCAGAAGCTGTAACCCCCACCTAGGCTAAGGCTAAGGGAACATCCTTTGACCTGTAAGCCAGCAAGGAGACAAAAGCTTATCTCCCTGGCAGGAGCGCTGCTTCTGCTGCTTCATTCATAACTGAACCCCGAAGCTTGGTCGGTTAGCCAAAGACGGGTAAGATTCCCCAAGGGGGGAACGACCTAAGACAGGCACGATCACATGGGAGGCCCCCAAGAAAGGACTTTGGGGGCTACAGCAAAAGGGGGTGATGGACCCTTGCGCCTAGGCTTTGACATTGTCTGAGTTCTCATCGTCTGTGAGAAAATCTCCTTATCTCTTGGCTGCCTTAGTTCCCTTGCTCCACTTGAGCCTGAAACAATGACAGGGTGGTACAGCTCTGTGCTGAAAAGGGCGGGTTCCCCAGGTGATCAGGCCTAAGAAAGAATATGTAAATTACTGTGAAACCTTCTTTGTTTAGAATGCTCTCAGTTGAATGAGAAGGGTCCAAGGAGGAAGTTAGTTTGTTCCCCAAAGTCTTACAGCTCTTTGACCCTGACTCAAAGTAGGCCCTCAGACTTCCTTGCTATCTATGGTTTCTTACTTCCCCTAATGAGTAATGTGCTTTACCTGAATTATTATGCAAAACGAGCCCAGTAAAAGCAGGTTTGGACGGTAAATCGGCGTACTCCCCACTAGAGGGGGGTGGTCATCTCATCCCTACTTCTCCACAGAAACTGGTCTGTCTCTGTGCATGTTTTTTCTCGCGTGTTTTCGACGAGCCATCCGCAGCGTCCCGTGATCACTGCTGGCCGGTGACCCACGCATCACGCCCCTGCCGGTTTCTACCTCCTAATCATGTGCTTCCCTTCCCCTTCCTTCAACCTTTCTGAGTGAAACAGGAAAAGAAAGTGGGGTGGGGAGCAGTGACGTGAAGCACCCTCTCCTTTATTACCTTTCCTCCTTCGCCCCACCCACTGCCTCAGCACACCTTGGGAACGCTCTCACAGCACTACAGTGCGGGCACCTGGCTGGAGAAGCCTCAGAGCTACGCCAGCTGTAAATCTGTATCGTGTTAAGTGCCCCTGTATCCAACACAAAACTTGATTCTTGAAGTCCTTGGTAACTAAAACCGGTGCAGCCCCTGAGCTTATAAAGTTTAAAATACAGGAGTGACTATAATCAGTGAGAACAAACATCACTAAAGTAGATTACAGAGGAAGAGGTGACCATCTTCCATATTAAGTCTCAGCTCAGGGAGCTCAGCACCCCTCGGTCTTGCTTCTCTAGCTGAATCCAGGCTAATTTCTCTCCTCTCTTCTCGCCTAACCCAGGCAACTGGCAGGAAGGATGAAAGAACAATCACCCAAGCCAGAGAGAAGACAGGAGGGGCCGGTTTGTAGATTACGCCGGCCTTGGGGTCAACACTGAGCCTTGCACGTGCTTCTTTGTAGCACTTGCAACGCACTGTATCACACTGATGGGTCTACAGGTTCCCTTCGCGACGACGCTGTGTGTTCCTTCAGGGCAGCACCTGTTCCTTACCTACCTTCATGTCCCCTGAAGTTACAACGGTATAGGGCGGGTGCTTCTTACACATTTGATAAGTGCACGACCAGAGGGCATTCTGTTTTTTGTGAAGCTGGAAACTTCCTCACTTAGCCTGTGAGATTCTGGGTTCCTCAAATTTGTAAGGTCAGTTAACTTACAAAGACTTATTTCACTGATAATTCAGGCAGCATTGTACGAGTAAGTAATGTTTCAGAAATACAGAGCTGAATTGCCTACAATGGTAAGATGCTGAACATTTAAATTTGGGAATCATCTAGGTTGATATATTTAGTTTAGCCATGGTAGTTCAGCAAAAATAACTGCATACCTCTGGTATTACAGTACTTATGGATTATTTTAAATTACCATAATTTGTTAGAACTTAATTTGATGAGTTCCAGACAATAAATCTTAGAAAACACAACAACTGCAATACACTGTAAATAAAGAGGAGATAGCTCTCCATGGGACAGGCGCTCACTACATAAAAACTGTGTATTTAACGAGAGCATTTACCATCAATGAAGAACATTAGAATTTTTCTATAATTATGCTTCACATAATTAGAACAAAACAAATTAGCATACCAAAAACAAAGAGGCAGAACTAAAAGCCCATGTTTCACAATGTCAATATATAGAAAGTAATTAAGTAATTAGTAATTAAGACCAGAACAAAACAATGTAAACTGAGCTCTCTGGCATTAATTTACGTGCCCTGGTAACTCGGCCACATTTGAAATGTTCAAATTTTCCACACTGATGTACACGGCTGTATACAAGAAAACTGACACAACACACATTTATCTTCCTTCCTTGGGTTCAAAGTTACATTTGTATTATATATATTTTGGATTCCCCTTCAGGCTTAAGATCAATGACAAGCCAAACCCTCCCATGCTTTAAAAGGTCTGCCTCTCCCATGACCACTTCTTAGTCTGATCTTCCACCTCCCCACTCCCCAGGCAGGAGGTGCTCAGGGCTGCGTGGGAAGGGTCTGGAGCAACTATGGGGGAAAAGGTGCCCCCCGCGCCAAAATGACAGTATGATTACAGATAATAGCCATGTAAACACCCAACGATACTCAGCAACGACACATGCTTTCTAACTAACCACTTATAGAGAAAAATGTTTTTATCACTATAATACCTGGGGGTGACAGAGGACTGGGAAAGGTCACTATTATGGCCCTTCAAGAATAACACTGGTGCATTGCACTTCAAAGCCCTAGGGGTATTACCTCCTAACGTGCGTGAAGGCACAGAGGCTATGAATGCAGGCACTCGTGCACAGCCAAAGGAGTACGACTATGGACACGCTTAAACTGTTCCAGCATATTTTTAAAGATTTTATTTATTCATTTTCAGAGGGAGGAGAAGGGAAGGAGAAAGAGGGGGAGAAAAATATCAATGTGTGGTCAATTTCCACGCGCCCCCACCCCCACCAGGGACCGAGCCTGCAACCCAGGCGTGTGCCCTGACTGGGAATTGAACCTGCGACTCTTTGGTTGGTAGGCTTGTCCTCAATCCACTGAGCCACATCAGCAGGGCTGTTCTATCATTTTTATTTTAGTTTTCAATCCTACATTCTTCTAAAATGCGAAGTAAGTAAAAGTAAGCGTAGTGTAAAGGCACACATGAAGTAAGGCTGTAAGAAACAGCCAAACCGTGAACAGCAGCACATATGTGTATGTAAATCTTGGGAGCTAATCGCCCTAGAGATGTTAGCGCTCATGACCGATGTACTGAATTATAAAATTCTTACTCTTATTGGAAGAAATCACACCAAATATCCAAGAGAGAAAGTGTTTTCCCCCCCTGCTGTTAGGTTTTGTAAAGGGCACAGGTCACAACATACTGGGGAACAGCTCTACAGAAGAAAACAAAGGCAGAGGTATTCTTCACGTGGTCATTAAAAATCTCTCTCTCTAACAAGTCAAGGTGCTAGTGTACAACTGTTCTATGGGGGCAAGTAACTAGGGTCCACCTAGGACCTTAGGTAGTGTGTTGGTGATCTAAGTAGATGATGAAAGAATTTATGCAATTCTTGGAACGTACACACAATTATAAAGTCCGTGAGAGCAGAAATCTGTATCAAACACCCATCCTGTGTAGCTCAGGCCACCTCCTCATGGGGAGGTGCTCGTGGCAGCCCCCCCCCCGCCGGGGGGCAAGCACTGATCACGCGGCTCAGCAGCGCCCCCTTGGTCCCGACGCAGCAGGAGCGCAACCACTGCTGACGTAAGGGCGGGGCACAACTCTTAGGCAAACCACATGAGAACAAAAAATATCTGTGACAGGGAACATGGCAGGCGGAAAATAAAAATTTTTATTCTTACACAGAATACATAGAAAAGACTAATGCTACTTTTTCAGAAGGAATTCAAGACGTTACAATAGACTTTTCTCAGGTATAGATTACTGCACGATTTCCAAAAGGGAGCTTGCTTTGCTTCTTAAACAGGACCAGAACACGTACAGTAGAAACACATTTACTCAGCCTCAGGAAGGAATTAGATGTCTGATTTAGTGAGTTTTCCATTCAACCATGTTTACTCCTTTAAGTGTTAACATTTCTTAAAAAGACATACATGGAAATCCTTCTACACTTTACTGCACAATTCCCTCCTTAAAGCCAAGTGCAATGAACCCAGTTTCACCCTTTCCTTGATGACGTTTCCATCTCTGCCTGTGGAGTAATGGCCTCAGTGGTTATGACCCTTACTACTGTGCTTTTTCTTCCAGTTTTGGTATTTTGTTTTTATAGCTTTTTCTTTGTAATGCCTCTTGCTATTTTCAATGGGTCTGCTTCTAGCACT